CTTCATGGCGGCTCACGAACTAAAAGGAAATTGGACATGAAGAAAAGATCTCTAGTGAAGAAAGAATAAATAAAAGGAGAAAGAAAGAAAAAAAGACAGGAAGCCAAAGAGGGGAGGAGCACGCCATACGTACCTCCTTGAGAGGATGCAGCTGTTTAAGTCGCCGGTTCGGAAGAGCAATGGGATGCTGATAACCCGGATGAGAAGTTCAGTTGGAACTTGATCGACGACTAACATGCCCGAAGTAACAAACTTACAGGTTTCTGGTGTTTGTTGTGGATGGATGGAAGGGGAAGGGTTGCTCGTGCAGTCTGAAGACGTTGAGCTAAATATTTAGAAGGAGCCTCCAAAGATATGCAGCCCCGTAACAGTTAAAAAAATAAACATTGATTTATTCGACCACCGTTAGCCTTGTATATATTGAAATAAATATTATGTGGTTCAAGAAAGAGAGATGAGGAAATCTTATGTGCCTTGTACCAAAATATCGATTGGTTTGGTGGTGAGGAGGATGTGAATGGAGGAGGGAGGAAGGACACAACGAGAAAAGAAAGGCTGTTTATATGGCTGACACGAAACTCACGGCAGCAGGGAAGAGTTGGCTTTCTGGCCAAACTGCCAGTAGACTCTATCCTGCCGCAGAAGAACTGGATGGGGTCCCCCATCCCGTTCCAGTGTGCACATAGTAAACTCTCTGTTTGTTTGTCATTTTCTTTCAATCCTGCTGACTCCACTTTTAAACCCATTTCGTCTGTCTTACAAACAAACAAACAAAAAAGAAAAAGACTCTTGATCTCCAATCCTTGCGTGCCACCTCCGGTACGTTGTGCGTTCATAAACGGTGCTTGGGCGCCGGGAGACTGCCGTTTATATGGAGACTGCACAACTAGCCAGATCTCATTCGAAAAAAAAATGGCTGCAATGAGAAGCCAATGGAGTCGAGCAGGAAAAATTATTCCCGTCCGAAAAGCAAAGAAAGAAACTACTAACCGTCAATCATTCCTTTTTTTTTTTTGTAGAGGGGAAATGCATTTACGCACCCCACAAGTGGTAGTGTTGGACTCGGGTGAACACCCCCTACCAACTAAAACCCCCCTATTCCTATTGCCCATCGGCAAGCCATACCTTCCTAAGGCCTCGGCCGTCAGTCATTCCTTGTCATGCCAAACAGGCAAGTGCTCTGTCTTGCCTTAAAGGGCCAGTGCCTGAACCAGCACAAGGATGGATCGGTCAATTAAATGAATAAATACACTTCACTCAAATGAATATAAGTACACTAGAATCAAATAGTTGGACATCAATTCAAACCACACATCAGTGTTAAATTCTTGTCCAGTTTCTGTTGAGCTTATTCTTGTTTCCTACTCATTCCTCAATTCCCTATATTTTCTTATTCATATTCTCCATGTTCTGTAATCAATTCAAGAGCATTGGGACTGATTCATGAACATGAAAGCACTTTGTTTTTCATTTTCTTGGCACACCTTTTAGTGCTTGAAATGTGTGTATTAGCCACTAGATTTAACTCAAACTCTATACCTGGCTTGTATTCTTTTTCTAAATCATTTCCTGATTGATTCTGAATACTCTTTTTCATATATTATTCATTTTCTCAAAAACGAAGCCTTTTGTTTACTTTTAATGGAGTCAGCTACTCAGATTCCAAGAAAATCATCCTGGTGCATTGAAAACTTGAAAATCCCTCTTCAACATGTAATCAGCACAACTTCAAATTTGGTTCATACTGCAGATACAGACACAGCTTTGAGTGTAAGTGATACACATATGGGCCTAAAAATATTAGAGGGATTTTTTGAAGAACTTTATTGAGTGGTAAAAAAGAATTCAGGAAGTGTACAAGTCATTTAGGTAGGGGTTCAAAACTGAATCTGGCTCTGGAAAATAGTTCTTGGGTTACAAGTGAATTGGAGGGAAGTCACAAAATGAGCAGAGAGGAATCATGACTACAATTTCAACAACTTCCCTGATACATTTAGCAACTTCTTATTGGGATTGAAGTCTGGAGTGATTATCTTCATCTAGGTATCAAAAAAGGTATCCATTCAACCAATTTTTGCATAGTATGAGGGAAGTTGCTTAAGAACACTGCCTGTCTCGTCTCAAAATCACTGAGAAATAGTTCCTTTGTGGAGTTTGGAATTTTCACAAAAAGAAACAGAGCGGGTTCAAGGATATGAGTACATGCAATCAAAATACAAGCAGGGTATTTCTTATGGATCTCCCATACATGCATTTAAAAATCCAGAGCTGCATCTGATAACAAAATATAATATTGTTCCAGATAAAATTGGCATTACATATACCAGAATTTCTATTGAATCTACCAAGATATTTTTATCGATCAAATATGTTATTGAATGCAATCTATCCATTTTAAATTGACGATTTACATAGCTGCATCAGAACTACACATATGACAAAACTTTATAGTGCAAAGATGCCACATCAGACATAAAATTATGACAAAATTTATTTATTTATTTATTTGGTATCATTCAGGCTTGACATATCAATCATGAAATTTTATTCTAGTTGAATATAATAAGTAGTTATAATTCAGTTAATCTGGAAGGGAATTAACTGATGGCACGTGCAGGGATCTTTACTGAAAATTTAACCTCAAGGTTTATGAGATTTTGAGCATTTCAAGAGCATTTGAAGCCATCTACTCGATAACTTCTGAGATTCATATTATTATTTAAGATTCATCATCTTTGATTAGGAACAATAATCATCGAAATAATCATACTTTAAATCATTCCTCAGCTAAGCATTGTTTTCAGGGTTATTCTTCTGCCAAAATCAAAGAAATTTGGTTTCTATTTTTAATTATGCCTTCTTCTGGTTGACTTTCTTGGAAACTATCTGTGTTTAAGAGGATCTTGTGGCCTAAATTCCCTGTTTTAATTGATGATTTCCATTGATCCTCATTACCAATGTTGGGCCAATACAAATACATGTATCATGAATTTATGAAAAATTATTGCTCTCAACATAAAAATATAGACATGAGGGGTTCAAAATAATATTTCATCAAATATTTTATGAGGCTTATTGGAAATGCTAAAAATGACTCACACATTCATTTTTGCATCTCACATCTGGAGGGTGGGATCAATCAAAAATATACTTCCTGGTTTGACTGATTTTGGTAAAGCCTGTAAGAGCATCTCCAGCAGCCCTGCAACCAGGATTTTTTTAGTTAAATTTAGCTCACATGCTATTTTGGGGGTCCAGAAGAACCACCAAAATGCATTTATACAATCCAATCCCCTTTCCACCCCAATAGTGGCTTTAGAGGGCTCCCTCCATCGAGTACCACAGGAACAAATCCATCAATACTTGGGAATCTTGATGTCTTTTCACCACCACCACATTCACCATCCCAACCACCCACAACCATAATCCACAACCATAATGTACAATGATATAGCCAATATAGATAGATATTGGGATATTGATGTATCCATCCTTTCAACAGATGAATATCCTTCCAACTTCTCCAGCTCCTACTGTCAGCCCACTCAAAACTTGATGCATGTTTGATGTGGAGTTTGGTTGTGGCATGGTCCAAACCTTTCCACCCCCATCTCAATCATCAGTATACTGTGGAGCGGGGGTTGAAAGGGGTGCAACATATGTGGCATGTGTTTCAGGCCCGCTCAAGCAGCTCCGGTCCACCCCGGGGCTGGAGATTCTCTAACTCAGTAACATGTACCCATTGCTTGCCTTTTTTGTTGAATTGTTTGAGTGGCTCAAGGATAAAATTTATTCTTCAGAGAATTTTGAGGGGGATAGGAAGAAAAAGAAACTATCATGAACCCTTATTGTGTACCAAAGATGAAACCAGATGTAGAGTTTTCCTGGTTTAAACAATGTATTTCTATCATATTGTGTATTGATTTTCAACACTCAAAGAATCTCCAGGGGATCATTTCTGGAAATTGAATAAAAGCTTCCCTAAAAATCACAAAGGGTCTTCTCTATGAAATTTACTAAAGTTTTACCCTTCTGAATACCCCTCAAGTCCAAAAAATAAACCAATAAATTTTAAACATGCATCCTTTTTTTTTGTGAAAAAAAATACCCTCCATCACATCCCATGGGGCTGTATTATATCACAAAGAAATCAAAATCAGATAATCATAACAAGTTTCATCTTTCAAAAAAGAAAATAAAGAAAGAAAATGTATTGTATGAGTACAATGTTGAGATACAAAATGACCCAATGAACCCCTTGCCAAAAATAGACATGATTTAGAAAACAAGGCTGGTATTGTATTGTAGGGTATCATCCCGCTGTTGTCATTACTGTGAGAAGATTGTAATCCCCCAAGGATCTTGGCCTCCTAATTCAGTTTATTCATTATCTGAAACATTCAAAGAAATTCTCAGAAATCCATCCTTCAGATTTATGAGAAATATCCCTGAAAACACCATGCATGGGTTCAGGGGAAGGCAGTTCCAATAAAATGACCTTCATTGGGACCTTTGAAATTGGAGGCTTCAGGCCTTGGAGAGGGTGATGGAAATGAAGAACAGTCACCCATGTTGCAACCACCCAACAACAAAGTTTAGGATCCAGGCTAATGAGCCCACCCATCTGAATAAAGAAATCTGTACAATTTCAGGCCTCTTGGGCTCAATAAACTGATATCTATTGATCAAAATAATGGCACATCTCCCCTTCATCTGGAAGCTATCCAAGGTCAACAGATGGACCCTATATGACACCAGCCAGACCAAAGGGAATGGTAGGCCCAAAGCATTGCGGTCCATGTTCTGCAAACCACCTTGTCTTTCAAACAAAGATGTCCTTCCACCACCCACCCTCTTGCAGACAATCATATACAAAATGAGTGCATACAAATAAATGCATAAACTTCCTCAAATAAGTGAAAAAAACCAACAGCTAAATTCCTCTTTCGGAAGAATTGATTATGATGACTAGAAAGCTTCCCAGGACTGATCATCCATCAGCCTCAGTAGCCCAGTGGTAGAGCGTTTGCCTAGTACCTCCGGTGCAGCAAAAGGTCCAGTGTTCGACTCACTGTTGAGGCACCGTTTTGAGGTCCATGCGTTTTATGCCGACGCATGGTGAGTGACAGGACATGGACTCGTGAAGGAAGGAAAATCAAAAAGGCAAGACAGTCGGGACGCGATGCTTTTTAGACGCACGGTTGGAGCGCTACAAGGATGAGAAACACAAGGACGGGGAGATGGAAGTTCACTAACGACAAAATGTCGTCAGCTGGGGTGATGTTGAGACATCGTCACAGTGACTCTGGTCGCTTTTTGATTGAAAACACGAGGGCGGCATCATTTTCTTCGTGCGCTTTGTGACGACACCACACCACATTTAGAATATAATATGGACAAGCACCCACTACTTATAACTTCATGTATCTTGTGAGTGGAAATAAAGAAAGGACCCGAGCGTATTTGCAGGATCTCAATGACACAAATAATCTCATTGAATTAGCAAGACATAAGATGGTAGGAGAATCGAGGGGGAGGGGGAGGAGTATGATCATGCAATCATTGTTGGGTGTCAAGAGACAAGCAATGTGAGTGTTCAAGTTCCGGGTGATGATGATGATGGATGTTCATCGAGGATGTGTCTGGATCCATTTGTTGATCTTGTTACTGAACGACATTTCCTTCAAGAACGGTTTGAATTGATCTGTTATCCCAAAGATGCCGGCCTTGAGACCTGCGAGATAGTTAAAAAAATCACCCCCAGGTTAGAAAGAAAAACATTCACTCATGTGCGGGAAAATTTCAAGACAGACGAGTTAACAAGGGATGGAGATATTGATCGAGATCAGAATGAAAGCCGATCTGTATGGGGTCGAGCTGCGTGGGAGCAGCAGCAGAGGAGGAAGCAGGTGGGGCAGATGTTTGGACGGCGAATTCCACACAGATGTGCGCGCGAAGCCGATCGAGCGCATCAAAGCAATCGACCAGAGATTCCATGATGCGCGGTATTTGGTCTTGGAGCACTCCATACTGGTCTTCAGTCAACGATGCGCACGTGAAGTTCGTCACCGCTGCAAGCCGAATTCATAAAGTCATGGGTTTCTGTCCGGATCAGCCCTTACACATGACGTACCAGAACGCTACGTACCCTCAACAGAGAACATGCACAATTGCCGATTAGAGAGACATTTTTCGAGCTCATCCGTCAGTGATGGGGAGAACAGCCAGTCCTCTAAGCGTGAGCCAAGGTCGTTAGACTTGAGGGGAGGGCTGTGAAGTAAGACTTTCCAGATCTTCGGCACCAGTTTTTCCCGCTTCTGAGGGGTCGAGTTCGGCTTCGCTTGGGTAGCATAAGATTGTGATGTTGATTTAGCAGGATGCGTGTCGTAGGTTGAGAGGCCGGGAGTTGATTTCTTCTGAGTAATAAGTTTTTGACTCTGATCTTGCTGGAAAATCTCGGGAATCTGATAGTCGGAATCATCTCTCTCTTTCGTGGGCTTCGTGGCGGACAACTGGGGTTGAGTGATGCTACTGGCTGCAGTTTCCTGTTCACTCGAAAGGAGCTTTCTCAAGAGGAGCTGCTTCATTGAGTTCGGGTTAGAGCCGCTGCTGAACACCTGCGGTAAATCCGTCTTCAAGGCTGAGTAAGTGCCTGACGAAGTTTTATGACTCCCCACTGAGGCTTGAATCGTCGAGGCTGGACCTGGTGAAGAGGCATGCCACACCGTAAATCCCTCGTCAGCTGGCTCATTTAAGGAGAAAAAACTCACTTTTTGGGATCGCCTGCCCTCTACATTGAATCAGAGTTTTTGTACTGTCAATGATATTTAGACATTCTTCTATAATCGAGTTCAATAATCGTGGGGACGTTCTGATATCCTTGAAAATCGTGGATCGGCGCGCCGGGTCACTCCATGATATATGGGCAAGCTCCCGTAAAGCATAATGCTGCGGAAAAAACAAATGAGCAAGCCACCTTGATAATGTGCTGCAGGGAAGGAATGAGAGCAGGGTAGCACCACTCACTTGGACACGAGGATCAGAGGATCGAATTCCTTCCAATAAGCACTGATTCGGTTCCGTGTCAAACCGAGACAGATCCAGTGGATGTGTCGAGTAGACATCCCACAGTGTTTGCACGATTTCCCACATGGCTATCAGCATTACATTGAACATCACCAGCCTGATGTTAGAGGTCAAGGTGAAGATCGAGTCGAGCTTGATGAGCATCACCATGTGGGGCTTGATGTGCTTTGTCAGTTGGGTGTACTTGGAAAAGATAATCGCCCTGATCAGATACCTCCGAAAGATGAGGTAAATCGGTAGAAACGTGGCCGAACAGTAGACAACCGATTTTTTAACAAATTCGGCGCGCGACCCAAACAATGTCCAAATTCTCTGGGAAATAATGTGCTACCAAGCGAGGAGACGATTTGTGTGTCGCGTAAGCAAGAGGAATCAGGAAACCATACTCGGAGAAAAGGCTTACATGATCCGACACATCTAACGGACGGTAGTGCCATCTACCATGATAGATTGCAAAGAATGAATAGCATAGGGCCGTGTACCATGATGACGCCAAGAGGAAGATTGGTCTCTCGTTGATCTGAGCGACGCCGCGCCTAGGCAAAATAAAAGGGGGAGGGCTGAGTAATACGCCAAAGGGAGATCACGTAGATCAACTGAGAAAATATTGTATCTTACCCAGGGATACTCTTAAGAAGGCCCAAATCGGGGTTTTGATTCAAAGCCAAGGCGGCGGAAACATATGTGAAGCAAAGCAAGGAGGCGCTGATGGAGCAGAAGAGGGTTGAGGTGATAAACTCTGTGGATTTCAGTACGGTCCAGAATTTCGCGTATCGATTAGGCGCGTGTAAAGCCGGTTCTGAGGAGCGTTTCAAAGAATTGAGTGTCATTTATTCGTGCGGAAGTCTTATGGGGTAGACTGCAAAAGAGTAGAAAAGGATAAAAAACAAACCTGTAAGCTGCAATCTCCTCAAAGTCATCAGAGGGATAGTTGCACTTGCCCAATTAGCCACAGCCATGAGCCATGTGGTTGGGCGAAGTCCATTCCACAACGCGGCTAGAGGGAGGGACAACACTCGGTTAGTTCTGGTTCACCAGGCCCGCGTAGATGGGTAAACAGATCTGTTTATTGATCGAGTTTTTTTTGGAAAATTTTTACTGACGCAAGCCATCCAGCATAACCAACCATAAGACGAAATTACCGAGGAGATAACTGATCATGCAAAAGTGATATGTTCGTCTCCGTCGGATGACCTGAAAGAACGGCGGCGGTCAGTGATTGTATTTGGATGACCGTATCTTTGGGCTGATTGACTCTTCTGGGAGTACTCACATGGTATAGTCTGGTGTAGTCATGCTTGTTCGATTGGAGTGGATGTCTTTGTTGAATGCCCATTCTTGCGTGTCGGCTTAGCGCAGCGCGGAGTCGCTGGTGTGGGGTGGAATGGCCGGGGACCCGTTGAAACCCCGAACACACGCCCAATCGGCGGAAGAAAAATAAAAATAAAATTGGGCCCACAAATATGGTGTATCAAGCGCCGTTGGGCACAAATCCAAGTCCCGCTTGGCGCAGTGCCATCCGAGCTTGGATTGGTGCCCAGGGGACTTGATCAGCACTTTGGGACTGGCGGCGGATCTTGGCACGTGGCCAAGTTCCGCTTGGCCTAAATCAACTTTTTGGAAGATGTCTGATCCAAATGTCATGGGTCCACTTGACCTTGAGATTGAGGCCAATAAGGAGAAGACCCATGATGAGCTTGCTGAGGAGCTTCGTAACGTTACTCGTCAAACACATGAGAAAGAAAATCAACGGAAGGCAAAATTGAGCCTTCAAGACTACCGAACATAGCAATTGTCCCCACTTATACACGAGGAACGTCTCTTCAAACCTCAAAATCCATCTCACTCAAGTTCCTCCCTACCTACTCGCCATTTTTAAACCCAATTGAATACTCTTTCCATTCAATCAAGTCCTTTGTCCGTTCAAAAGAGCCACCCAACCAAGCCGCTTTAGTCACCAAAATAAAAAAATGCAATTCAATAACCGCCAAAAAATCTGGTCATTTTTTTTCTCACTGTCGACGACTCTATCAACCTTGTGCTGAGATGCAAGAGATAACTGGTACTCTCTTGACATCTCCTCCAGATTTTATTTTTCATCCTTTTTCCAATCAAAAATCATATGTATATTAATAAAAATCAATGTAGTAAAAATAAATAAATTGTATCCCTTAATAACCAGGGGTACATCCATTTTTGGTGGCATGGCACCTTCGTTTGGCTTCGGCCAAGCAAAGCTTGGGCCCAACCCGCCCCAACTTTGGCATGTGCCAAGTGGGGGTTTGGCCGGCGCTATGAAGGCTTGGCCATTGGCCAAGTTGGGTTTACGGTCGGCCCAGCGCGCTTGGGCACAACTTTGCCAAATTTGGCTGTGTGCCCAGCGGCGCTTGATACACCATAGTGCCATTCAACATGTAATGGCTATTCAAAGCAGAAAGGAGAAAATTATATATTCCATATGAACAAAGCCATCCAGATATCTGGTAGTAATTTTTCATGACAGAAAATAGAGTGACCTGACACCGTTTTCATTGCATGTGATCATGGTGTTAGTTTTGTACTCAGCTTTTATCTCCATTTTATTACTGTCAAAAGCCTCTATGTTTTTTTTTTTTTCATGCAGGCCAAATTGTACAAGAACTATTTTCAGGCCAAAGTTCTGTTTGAATTCCTTCAATTTTTTCTTTTTTTTTTTGTTTGGGGAGGCTGGAAGACCAACAGATGGGAAGTTCACGTTGCTCCTCAATGCAGTCTTCTTTATCCCTTCATCTCCACTCTTTTTACTTTCAGAAAAAGGACCTGCTTGCTTATGAGAGTAAACTTTGAAACCAAAAAAAAATTTGAAGACTACATCTTTCTCAGGAGGTTCTTGTATGAGAAGTTGATTTTTTAAAAACAAAGAAAAATCTATAAGAAAGTTATCCAACATCTTAGAAACACACAATACACATGCATTCATGCAATGTCCCTCAGTCCATAATTTATTTATCAGAAAC